GCAAGCCCCAAAACCTTCAAGTTCAAAGCTTCATCCCAACATCCCGTGACATTGCTTTCGCATGGGAAAAACCACGAAAAACACGACTTCCAACCATGACACAATGACGAAAAAAAGAGTCGACACGTGTAGAGGTCGCGCACGGCTGTCTCCCCAAAAGGCCGTTTTCTCCGGAAAACTTGAAAGACGTGTTATTGGACAATCAAGCCATCAAACGCAAAATCATGCTGCCGCTGTGGTAAAACCACCAAACTCGTTTCAGAGATAACACAATGACGAAAGCAAGCCCCGAAAACTTTCGAGGTTGCGCGACTATGTCTCTCCAGAAAAGGACCTGATAATCCAGAAATCAGCGTTTTACCACGGTAAAACTGCAATTTTGCCTTCAAAAACGCTCGTGCTATCGCGCGGGTCGTTTCGCGTGGCGTTACCTTGTTTTTGCATGCTGCCAGGGTGCGAATTTGTAGACCTCCTCGGAACATTTTTGGCTTTTCGCGGTTTCGATAGCCAGCCCATTTGTGAATGCTGGGCAGGTGAATGTCCGCTGCCGCTTGCCGCCTTCTTTGTTTCTTGGATTCTGCTGGTGACATGTTTGACGGCATTCCCGACATGTGCGACTGTATGCCAGGATCGAGCGACAGCCCATGCAGCCTTCAACGACCAAGCTCGCTGCTAAGCTGATAGTCCTGGACACGGAGCACTGCGTGCAGAGCCGGATCCAGCCCGAGCAGGCTCGCCTCCAAAACCGAGACGCAGCAAAGCAAGCCAAAGCATGAACCTGAGAGCCAATTTCCGAGCTTCATCTTCTTAGACCTCCGTCCTGGGGATGAAAACTCCTTCTGAAGGTTCTGGCGAGGAGGAAGCTGAGCTCCAAGTTCCAATGTGCGCCGGAAGTCAAGTTGGAGGCCTTTAGCGCTCTACTTTCGAATCCGGGCTCTGCTGCCCAGAGAACCCAAGCTACAGCTTAATTAAGGAATAGCACCTTAAATTCTAGGGGCCTTGGTACTATGATTTAAGGTATATTCCTTAATTAAGGGGTATTGGGTTCTCTGGGTATCTTTAGGCAAGAGGCTTTTCACAGTACGAGAACCCTGGCAGTGATGGCAGCGGTGTTTTCAAGCTTCGACCGTCTGGAGTCCTGTGCCGCAGGTTTTTATGTATGCCTAGCATCAACTTGATGACTTATGTCGTTTGATGGGCACAGAGGCAAACAGATGGATGTCCGCAGGTGACAAGTACGACAGCTTGCGGCAGTTTTCAGCGGTTCTTGGCGAGTTGTGTCGACAATGCAGGTGACAACTCGAGTTCAGAAGGCCAAAGTCCTGTCCACTCCGCGTGTGTTTTTCGAAGATGACAACGGAGTTCGGATGGGCACGGCCCTGGTTTGCCTGGTGGTGATGAACTCCATCCTGGGCAGAGGATATTGGATCCTAGCAGGATTTGCAAGGATGCGTGTCATCGTGGCTGACTACCAGGTGAATCTGTAGGAGGTAGTCTGAAGAGACTTTCCATTCGTATCCGGTGTCTGCGTATCAGCATGTCAGTTATTAATCAACATAACATTTGTTCCTTCCGTAATGACTGGCACCACCATTACCATAATCTCTTGCTCCACCGTCATCTCTTGGCGAAGCCTCCATCAGCGGGGACTTCAGCCTATTATCGTCACGGTGATGATGATGATGATGATGCTGCTGTTGATATTGATAATGACGATGAACACGCTGCTGATGCTGATGATGTCGATGATGTTGACGGTGGTGCTGACGATGCTGTAGATGGACGAGATCGAAGTCATCAGCAGCGTCATCATCGCCAGCATCATGACCGGCGCCATAATAGTCATCATCATCATCATCATCATCCTCATCGTCATCGTCATCGTCATCGTCATCGCCATCGTCATCATCATCGTCATCGTCTTCTTCTTCCCCCGCGGCAGAAAAGATCTGTCCTGCGACGCCACTACAGCTCTCCCTGAAGAGTCGGCCGTTACGAGACGGTATGGGCTCAGTGCTTAGCAAAAGGTCACACCGAAGTGTCGCTTAAACAAGTTCGCATCTTGACGCTTTGCATCCCGGATGTCTTTCCTTTGAGAACAGAGGCACAGTCGAAGTGATCAGTCGAAGCGATCAGTCGTCCAACGTCTCAAGCAGAATCACAACTGGCTTTGTCGCTTGGCACTTATTATGAAAGTCTCGCTTGGCCTTGGCCTCCAGCACTCGTAGACTTCCCATCATTCGCGCTCTGTATGCAGGATGACGGTATCGAGCTGGAGAGTGCTGCGACGGGTTGGTTTATCAAGTAGCAGGAGATACATGTTGGCACTTACGTGGTTCAGATCTGAGTCAGACAACAGTCTGGGCGCTTTTTCATCATCCAGTAGCCAGTACCTCCGATCAGAGGCTTGGGTCACCGTCGTGTAGTGACCTGATGTCGGGGCATCGCCATGGTGCTGGACTGTATTGGGTCCACCGAACGGCGAGGAAGCCAGGTTGACAGAAGCAGGGCAGCTCCAAAGCATCCGGAAGAATGTAAGCCTGTGACTGCTTAACCGGCCATCCAGGGGCATGATAAAGAAGCCGAGGGACCTGTAGGAAGACCCATTTCGGCAACTCGGTAAATGCATGAATGTCAGTCTGAGCATGCCACCGCTGCACTAGTACTTGAACCTCCGGAGTCGGGTCGATCTTGTCTACAGCAAGTTGAAGAGAGTGTGATGCCGGAGCCAGCGCAGTGCAAAAAACACCAGTGTCGTTTTGCTGCCTTGCCTCCCAACAGCCTGCAGGAGTAGAGGGCATGAGCCGAAGCTGCATGAAATCTGCAAATTCTGCGACATCGTGTTGCTCCTTGGGGCTGCGCCAGCCCAAGAGGCGAAGCCGAACAGACGAGTGGCCACTAAAGGCCTCTCTCTTTGTTCCCAAAACACCTTTGGCAGCAACTGGCAGGAAGCCGCATGGAGGACCGACTCATGCGGGAAGTATTGCCTGAGGAGTCGGCTACCTCTGGTAGTAGAGGTTCGCCAAATGTTTGGCAATCGGAGACTGCGGCAGTGTGTCCTCTTTCATGGAGACACCGATTGAGGCTCCTGCCCGCGTTGCCACAGAGCCGTTCGAAGTGCCGGTACAGCTCCGCTGCGGTCTGTCCCCGCAAGGACACTTCTAGCGCAAATGTGGCCATTTGAGCTCCCTGCTGCTCCAATTTCGGCAGGGTTTACAGTGGAGCTGAAGCGCTGAATGGCTTCCCCCGTCAACTGCTCGAGCAGATATTTCAGGATCACTATGTCCACGTGCTGGAGAGAAGGTTTGGAGCTGTCTACGACCAAACGCCGTTCGGAGCGGTTCCATGTCCGGTTGTCCATTCGGACGAGGTGGTGAGCCACCCGGCCGCAGTCAGTCGCGCCTTGTTTTCCTCGGTGGCCACCGCCTGTTACGCCAGATTCAAGAGCTCCTTGACCATGCTGGACAGCAGCACTGTCCTTAGAGGAGCATGAAGGGCCTTGTGGTCCTGAGCCTTCTTGGCATTCCATTCCTTGGCGATTCGCATGAGGGGACCCAGCGCGCCATCCTCCCCCTGTCGCATGAACAGAACGGAGGCCTTGTCGTGCCTCACTCGGCTGATCACCTGTTCTTGCTGAAGCAGCACTTTCGTGAGCAAGCGCAGGTGCCGGGGACCAAAAGAGCCGCCTCTGAACGGATTGCCTTGGTGGCTGGGAAGGGGTACCGGTTGGCGCCCCGTCCACGAGTGGGCCTGATCCGGCCGATGACGCCTCTGAGATCGGCCGCCCGGTGTCAAGAGAAACTCGGGAGGGTTGTGCCGACAGTTGGTCATGAGGTCGGAGCTGCTGTACATCCTTGTAATAGGCAACTGCGACGCAAAGCTGTAGCAACGGGGTGCACTGAGTGACATGTCTGCCCGGGGCTCCGACTTTGTGCCCGCGCCAATTGCACTGGTGGTCACGCCGAAGCTCTTACACAACGTGAGGGCTTGGGACATGAGGGTCGGATGATGTATCATGTGCACTCGGTTCAGATGCTGCTTCATATGCCTAAAGTCAGCAACCCAGAAGTGACAGAGAACACAGTGCTGAGAGAGCTCGAGGTGGACAGCCGGAAGTTGAAGTCAGTGTTCCCTATTGTCAAGGCTCTGCACAAAAGCATGATGCGACGCGAGTGGCACATGTTCCGTGTTTTCATCTCCGAAAACGCGAAGACCTGCCGTAGGTGTGGGAGACCGTGAGCCCACCTCCAGAACTGGCGATTGCAGAGTTGGCAAGCCGGCATGCCTGCTTTGGAATGGAGCTCAGGTCGGAAGAGGGTCGGGTCTTTGTCGAGTGCTTAGGGACGGACTTCTGTCCTGAAGACCCCTCTGAACTCTGAACAGTATGGGCAGTTAACCGTGGGCTCCTGAGGCGGAGATTTGGCGAAGCTAGCCGCAACGTCCGAAAGAATGATTTCCAGCACCTGGGCTTGGTGACGCATGTGCTCCATGGCCAGGGCAGCGGTAGTGATGTCTGGTGAGCTGGCAGCCCGGAGCTCAAGCTGCGCCAGCAACCGATGTTGCGAGTGTTGCACTGTCCAGCCTGGCATTGGGAGAGCGGCGCGCTTCCACACATCTCCCGTGGTGATGTGCGTAAGATGGGCGGGAATGCGGAGTATGGTCCTAAAGTTTGCCCTAAAGGTGCTTGGTGAGGGTGACCCTGAGGGAGCTCAGGGTGCCAGAAGTCAGCCAGGCGGTACGACTCGGAGAGGTGGTGGGAGCCATGCAGCGGCTTCCGGAGTCCTTGATACCTGGCAGTGCAGGCTTTGAGCCTATGCTGCATATTGCGTTGGTGTCTGTGCCTGTAGGACAATGGTGCCAAGGTACTCATGCATGTTGCTCCTTAACGGGAGCACTTTGAGGCGAAGGTGCAGCTGGCCAGCCTTCATGAAGGTGTGCTCGCGTTTCATCTGGCTAGCATCCTTGCCAGCCAATCGAAGCAAAATGACGGTTTTGTTGTAATTGACAGTCATCTCTGAAGTCTCGAAAATTTCTAGCGCTAGCGACACATCCGCAATGGCACTGACGAGGTCAGCAGCAGTCTGGATTTCCCAAGACCCCCAAACATCGTCACCGAACAGGGAGAGGACCTTCTGGATCCATTCGAGGCTACGTGAAGTAGAAGCAGAAAGGTGAGGGAGAAGTAGTTCCATAGGTAAGGAGCTATAACGCAGCCTTGTTTGATTCCGTTGGTGGTGGTAGTGGATTGATAGATGTACTGTGCATTGTGGTGCAGCTGCTGTACCAGGGTGATGGATGATCTCAGGAGGAACACCCTGAGTAGACATTGATGCATAGATGTGAGCACGAGTGACGCCGTCAAAAGCCTTCGATAGATCCAAAGAAAGACATATGCCTCCGATGCAAAGCCGATGCTTGCGTCCAGCTTGCTGCTGCAAGCACGTGCGCTGCGTGTCGCGCAAGAGTCGCGCGACAGCAGCTGAAGCTGCTTCAAAGTGTGCGTGAGCACGTATGAAGCCTCAGCGGTGCCGCGCAAGCATGTGCATCGCGGGTTCAAGAAAGCGGAGCAGATGATGACGAAGGCTACCAGCAAGGGTCTTACTAGCAGGGCTAGACAACCCGATGGGACGCAGGGAGGAGACATCATCCGAGGGCTTTCCGGGTGTTGGGATCCAAACGATATGACAGTTTTTCCAGTCCTCTGCAAGTTCACCGGTGCTGCCTTGCTGAAGGTGCGCCTGCAAAGCCTGGCCCAGGACGCAGCTGACGTCAGAGGAACACAATTTCCAAATCGCAGTGGGGGCGATGTGCCGCGGTACGGCCGTAGCCAGGCCCAGCTTGCGAAGCTCATCATCCAGGTCCTGATCAGTGATGAGGAGGGCCTGGGCTAGAGGGGCAATGGGATGCTCATCAAGCTTAGCAGCGAAAGTCCGGTTCCCAGATGCATCTATGTGCTGAAGCTCCTCATGTGAGGAAAGCAGACGGCCGTCGTCGCCTCGGAGACGACTGGCAAGCTTGCGAGATTTGGGAGAGAGGCGTCGCACAATGAGAAAGAGACCGCGCTGGTCTCCCTTGTGCGCAGCTTGCTCGGCTTGCTCAACTTGTGATTCAAAGAACTGGCAAAAAGGCACTCTGTTGTCTGAGGACACGTGAGGCTCCCGCAAAGCCGGCAGCACTGGGGGCTTAAGTTGATGATAGAGATGCCACACAGATCTTGCAGTGACCCTGAAGGCGGGGTGTGCGCTGACTCGGGGATCGGCTTGGTCTGTGGCGGGAAGGCCAGTTTGGCTTCTTCCAGGGGAATGGGATTGACATGGCGGTGGGCGCTAAAGACCAGTGAGCTGGCGACTGTGCGAAGCAATCCGGGCCTTCATGACCAGGGCCTCAGGAGAGGCCTGATGCACTGCCTGCTGAAGGGTATAGCCAGGTTAAGCTGTGCCCCAGCTGCCGGGTCCTGCGAGGCAGCTCGGTGGAAAGACAGCAATGGTAGCTGAGCCCTGACGGGATAATGCCCTGTGAGTCTATGACCACCTACAGGAAATGCGTGATCCGGGAAGGCGTGTTTGGCTTGAAGGCAAGCGGCGCCTTGCCGGGTGATGACAAAATCAATCTGTGTGGCTCCCGTTGGGGAGAAGTAGGTCTCAGCAGGTCGACGCAGAGAGAATGTTTGTGCAGTAAAGCCACAAGATCAGCGTCAGCAAGGTCTCCGTGGTGGGCACAGAACACCCAACCACTGGCTGCTCGCGTCGTACTGCAGAGTTAAAGTCCGCGCAAAGAAGGAGATGATGCCTTTGGGGGATGGTAAGCAAGATCTTATCAATATGATCCCCAAAGGCCACGCCTGAGCTCAAGATTGCGGGCAGAAGAGAGCCCACTTCGCCACACATGCTGATAAACCACAAAGACACTTACAGGGAGTTAAGTGACCTTGGAGGTAGCTTGAAGGGGGGCAAGCCTGCCGGGAACCACTTCAAGCAGGCGAGGGTCCTTGAAACTGCTGGCGGCGCAGCAGGAAAAGTATGCCGGAACACCTGCCAAAGCCGTCTGGCGACGCCCTACCCGAAGTATGCATGGCCAGCCAGGGGCGGGTCTGAAAGTCATTTGTTTCATGCCAATATGTCTCCTGTACAATGATGATATCTATGTTCGACTGAAGGTCACACCAAGCCATGAGTTCTTGAAACAGGGCGGATGAAAGACCGCTGGCATTCCAAGAGAAGATGTTGAGGTGCTGAGCTTGCCTGGGCCAGTGGGCTGGCTGAGGCCGCGCACGCCTGGGATGTGATTGAAATGGTTTCGGGAGCTGGCCTAGAGAGGCAAGCGTATGCCAACGACCCCTATACCACGTTCCCTGGTTTGGTAAAGAGTGTGCGTGAAGCCTAGCACGTCTGAAAGCTTGCTTGGCAGACTGTGCTATGTTTGTGGCGGGATGCTGCTGGGCAATCACTGATGCCTGCATTGGCGTTGGTCCACGATGCTTCCCTGCCGTGGATACAGCAAGTCCCCCTCCTGACGTGGAATCAAGAGGAACTCTCACCCCACCTACTTGTGATAACAACCCGTAGTAGAGGATGAACCTTAAGCATGATCCGGATTTGGGACCGGATTGGCTTGCAATGAGCCGTGCAAAGAAAATGCAGTCAGATGCTGGCATATGTGTGAGGGCAGTATTGGGGCCACAGCGTGCTTGATCTGATGTGGGCAGCTCGTGAGCTTGGCTTGGCAGCGGGATTTCGCTGCGTCACGCCAGGCTGGGTCCTGTGTCTTAGTTTAGCTTCATTATGCTTGCGATTATGCTTAGGGCGTGGGCTGGGGCCGTAGGGATGGAGGAGCCTAGGCCTTTGAAACCTTCTTGCACGCAGGCTCCTGGAGGTGAGGCAGCGCAGCTAGTGTACCTCGTTGCGTCGGTATTCATGCGTGGCCCTGTATTCCCAATCCGACCATCTCTGCAACCTGGTGCTGGTAAGGCTGTCCCTGGCGATGTTCTGCATGTCCGGCCATCCCAGCGTAGATAGCCGCCGCCGCCGCCGCATGGCTCCGATGCGAGCTCCTTGGGACCGGCTTGTAATGTCAGGGTCGGTCTCCAGCAGCTCCAGCCGATACTGTCCCAGGAAATACTCCAAAGCCTGACGGAGCGAGGGCCCGTCCAAGACCAAGCTAGTGTCGCTCCATGTACACGAGTTGAGCGAGGTGGCGCCGTCATTGGCGCTTTCCGAGCCTTCTCCTGATTCACCACAGCTGGTTTCCGCAACACGCCCGTTGGGAAGATGAGGCCCCTGAACGCGCTCAAAGGTACTCCGACCCCCTTCCCTGACCTCCAGCACTGGCCATCGTCGGTGCCGCTCGGAGTCGTCGGTGTCGGAGGAAGCGTCTCGGCCAGGCACTGTTGCATCGGCTCCTGGAGTTTTGGATAGGCCTCGGAGGCGGTGGTCCCTTGGGTCAGAGGTTGTGTCCTGAGCAACGGGAGGAGGGCCACGAGCATGATCATGTGGAGTGTCCGCTTCAAGGCTCTCCAATTCGGAGAGGGTGGTTGCGTTGTCATCCATGGCAGCATCGTTCATAGACTTCGCCAAAGAACTCCAAAAGAAAGGAGGACTTCCAGCCCAGCACAAAAGAAGCAACAACCCTCAAGACACGGGCATTCCACCTGCGAGCCACGGGGCTTCCTCGTCATCGTCATCACATCATCATCGTCATCATCCTCGTCGCCAGCATCGACATGAACAGCATCATAAGGATGATCATGATCAAGATGATGATCATCGACGTTGCCGGTGATGTGGATGATGAGGATGTTGATGATGATGCTTCAGTGTTGATGGCTAAGATATCAACCGACATGACAGTGATGGTGATACTCATAGCTATGATGTCATCGAAGTCGCGACGATGACGGCGATAGTGCCCAGCAACATCATACGGATAAGTGTCAGTATGGCACGCATCTTCAGCAGTAACACCGCCACCAATAGAGCATTCTTGCCATGTAATTTCGTAGTTCTTGCAGCAGCATCTTCGTATCAATCACGCTCGGCCGTGCAAAGTGGCATGTGTGACTCACATGGTCATGCTGATGATGATGGTGATGAGGAAGAGGATCATGGCGACGATGACGACGACAACGGCGACAATGACGACGACGAAGACAACGACGACGAAGCACCATCATCATCAATATCATCATCTTCATGACTATCATGACCATCATCGTCTTCATTGCCGCCACATCAGGGTTACGATTATCGTCATCACCTACAGTCTAGACACCATTGCCGTCTCCGTTGTTTTGACCATCGTTCCCTCATTGTCCAGAGCATCAGCGCAGTCATTGCCGTCTGCATCCCCTTATCACCATCTGCATCTTTGAGCTCCCCGTCTTCCCTATCACCTAAAGCCTTGTACCCTAAACCCCAGACCCTAAACCCCTAAGCCAGGCCACCGGCCATCAGCCCCTTCCCGTCAGCCTGTCGTCCCGTTCCCCTCTTGTTGTCTTGCTGTTCTCGCAGCTGGACGCTTGTCGCGCCATCACGGAATCTAAGGCGAGGATGCTTCATGATCATGAGATGCTGGATTCCAGCTACAGCTTGTCTGTGCTGGAGTCAACCCTGCCGCCATCACGGTTGCTCGGGCAACGCTATCCTGACAAGCTGCTGCGAACAGACTGGCCAGCTGATCCGAGTTGGATTCACGAGATGCTAGATTCCAGCTACAGTTTGTCTGTGCTGGAGTCAACCCTGCC